ATGTTTGTATACACATATGCATACACATGTACGTATGCATACATACATACATACATACATGCTTACATACAGACATACATACGGGCATGCATACCTAGTTAAACGAACCTCCACACACATGCATACATATACATATATAGACGTATACTCGTACATACATGTACACATGTATGTACACACATACAAGTACATGCACATGCAGTTGCACATTAATATTCACCTTTTTACCTGCATGTGTATGTACATTACACATCCATTTGCACAAGCACATACATGAAACACTACACACTTCATTACATATGCATACGCAAGTACACATATACGTATTTACATAAACACATATACATGTGTATATACATATTCATGTGCATATGCGCGTGCATGTACACATATACGCACATAGTCACATGCATGTGCATATTCATGTACGTATACATACACATACACACGTACATGGACACATACACGTATATGTACATGTGAGCGTACATGTGCAGGCGCATGTACATATACATGCATGCACGTATACGTACATGCAGGCACACACACACACGTACACACATCTCTATATATATATATATATATATATATATATATACGTATATTGCTATCTAGGCTCGAACGACCCCGACCCCAATTCCCTGGGAACATCAGGCCACTTAGGGCCTGGCGGCCGCGCTTTTGAATCGTCAGTCGTCGACGACGCGAGGCGGGATACAGAGGGAACACCAGGACCCTTGGGACCTGGCGGCCGCGGTATGCAGGTTGCGCTGGGTGGGTCTGGAGCTCTTTTCTTTACATGTGCCAGCCCAAACCTGTCGGCTGGGGAAAAGATAGAGGGACGGGCCCCCCCGACACGAAAGAAAGACGCTTTCTTCCGTGTCGCTCACCGCCGAAACGAAAGAAAGTTACGGGGAGACGAAAGGGCACCGAAACCGCTACTCCACGGACGTCTCCTGGGGTTCGCTCTTGCCAGAGCCTCGAGGAGAACCCAGCCATGGCGGCGAGGGCTCTCCAGGACGACCGGCGGCATCGGTATCTCTTCCTTCCCAGGATGGGAGGGCCCCTGGTGGTTTTCGGGGCCTCTGGCGGCCGCTCGGGGCGATGCGGGAACCCTGGGAGCGCTTTCGGCGAGGCGCGCCTGCCGAACGGCACCCCGAGGCCAGGGAGGCCGTCGAGAACCGACGTAAATGTCCGAGAGCCGGTTCCGAGCCCCTCTCGGCGTCGGCATCCGCCCCTTCCGGTGCCTGCCGGCTTATTGCGGGCCCTCGCGGCGCGGGGCCGCGGGGGGGGGGGCAGCCGCGGGCGTCGTTGCGGCAGAGGAGCGGCTGAGGCCTGTGCGCTTTCTCGGCGGCGAGCCTGTGGGGGAAGCGAGGATCGGGTGATGGGCCTGTTTTCCACCACCATCACCCTAAGTTGGAGGGGGGGAGGAGGAGGAAGAGGAGGACGAAGAGGAGGAGGAGGAGGAGGAGGAGGAGGAGCAGGAGGAGGTGGTGGTGGAAAACAGGCCGGTCATCAGGAGCGAGAGAGGGACGCACACGCACACGAATCCACGCTTGTTTCGAGAGTACGCGTGGCGCGAGCGTTTGTAATACACGAGGCTGGTCTCGCGGACTTTGGGGGCCGTGTTCAAATGCGCGGTTGGGCGCGTACAGGATCCGGCTTGAATGAGGAACACTTTTCAAAAGGGGTTCGGTCGTTCTTTTGGTTTGCATACGTTCCGCTACCTTTTCGGCGGCGACCGGACGTGTATGTTAAGCTGGTTGCCAATTTCGCTCAGATGTTTGATGGTGTGTTTTCCTGCTACCCCAAGGCTGAGTTCCGTCGCGTTCCAAGCGGTGCCCAGACCCTTTCGATCAGATATCCGAGCTGGCACGACTGGCGTGAGAACGATCCAGGGGTGGCGTGGAGGTGCGCGCGATGTTTTGTTATATCCGTTGACCAGAATCGGTCAATGGTGCGTTGTCGAGGGATCCCCACGGGGCTCAGTCATCTCAACGATGCTGAAGTGTGTGGACATATCTTGGCTTGTGTTCTGATCGCTAATAAGGGCCAGGACCCCTTAGTGTTTTGCTATAAGTGTGGGGCCTACTCGTCCAAGAGGTGCGTTTTGCTGGGCTCTGGGTGTTTGAAGAAGCGGGGTAAGAGCGGTGCTCAAACCCTGTTCGTAATTAAGCAAGGACTCCACCCACAATATCACAATGATGAATGTGTGTCGGAGCCTTGCAGACGGTCAGCCCAGGCCGTTATCGAGGCAGCTTCTGCTCACCAGTCCAGGCCGACTGCCTCCCGCTCGTGCCTCGTCAACACCCCTAGCATGCAGGCACTGGCGGCTCGGATTCGAGAGAAGGAAGCGGCAGCGAAGGCTGCCGCCATCGATGCCGCCTGATGGCGATCTTGTTGTTCCGTTCTGCCTCGTGGGCCTTCGAGGAAAAAAAGATGTTCCTTCAGATTTTGGGCGCGCGGGTTCGTTTTGTCGATGAGGGCGGCTGGTCTTAGGAACGGGGCTCCAAGAGGGGTTCGGTTCCTGGCGTCCTCCGTGGGCTCCCAAGAGACGGAGTGGGCCTTGTCAGAAGGCTCTGGAGGCTTCAGGCCTTATGACACGTTTTCTTCGAGCCTTCCCTTAAGTCTGGCGTGTCCCTCTACAGGAGAAATATCCAAAAATTGTCCAAATACATTTTGGGGACAATGTTTAAACTATGTTTGAACATGTTTTGATAATGTTTGGGGTATGTTTTATTTGTCGTCCAAAATCCGCCTGTAGGGGGGACACGCCCGACCTAAGCCTTCCCCGAAGACGCAACAAAGCTCTTCAGAAGGCCGGAGGGCTTCGGAACCCCCTCCACGCGGCTGCCCGCGATGGTTGGCCGCGCCAGTCCGACGCCACCGACGGGGAGGAGGAGGAGGAGGAGGAGGAGGAGGAGGAGGAGGAGGAGGAGGACGGGGAGGAGGCGGAGGAGGACGGGGAAGAGAAGGAGGAAGAGGAGGAGGAAGAGGAGGAGGAGGAGGAGGAAATCCCGCCGCGTTCTGAGAAGATCTGCCCCTTCAAACTTCCCCCCTGGGCTCGCCGCCTATCTTCACCGTGCATAACAAATCGGAGACCAAGTTGCCGCCCCTGCATTTGACCAACGGCTGCCGTATGGACGCCTTCAAGTCCTCGTCGCCGAAGGTGGCTGGGACCTTGCAGGAAAATATCCCGAAGACAAAAACTGCATAAACAAACTTTTGGAGCCCCGCGCGAATTTCATGGATCGGCGCTGTACCCTAATCACCTGCACGCGGAGCGCGCAGGGGGCGGCGCCGAAGGCGCCGCCAGGGGGCCCAGCGCCGATCCAAGAAATCCGTGCCGGGCTCGAGCAGTCTATGTTTATGCTGGTCCGTTCTTCTAATTCGGCGGCGAGTGACGGGGGTAAGTGAGAAGGGGCGGGCCTTCCCAGAAGGCTCGGAAGTCCCCCGGCCTTCTGAGAAGTGTTCTGCGCCTTCCCCCAAGACACAGCAAACTCTTCAGAAGGCGCGAGGGCTTCGGAGAAGTCCCGCCGCCGGTTGACACCATGCGGCATCGGCATCCCCTCCTCCCCTGAGATCCGACGTAGCCAACCAATTGCAACATCGTCAAAAATCACGACCAGAGCCCTCGACCCCATCTGTCTGCGTCAGTTTTCGAGCCGGGTCGATATGTGAGGGCCCTGGGCCCCAAAAGGGAGCGAAGACGCCGGTTGTGAACAAAAATTGCAACGCCAGGATCTCAGGGTTCCTTCTGAAGAGGAGGAGGGGGCGGAGGAGGAGGAGAGGGATAAAGAGAAAGAGGAGGAGGAGGAGGAGGAGGAGGAGGAGGAGGAGGAGGAGGAGAAGAGAAGGGAAGAGGAGGAGGAGGAAGTAGTAGTAGTAAGTAGTAGTAGTAGTTGTAGTAGTTGTAGTAGTAGTAGTAGTAGTAGTATAGTAGTAGTAGTAGTAGTAGTAGTAAAGTAGTAGTAGTAGTAGTAGTAGTTAGTAGTAGTAGTAGTAGTATAGTAGTAGTAGTAGTAAGTAGTAGTAAGTATAGTAGTAGTAGTAGTAGTATAGTAACTAGTACTAGTACTAGTACTAGTACTGTACTACTAGTAGTAGTCGTAGTCGTAGTCGTAGTCGTAGTCGTAGTCGTAGTAGTAGTCGTAGTCGTAGTAGTCGTAGTAGTCGTAGTCGTAGTAGTAGTAGTAGTAGTAGTAGTAGTAGTAGTAGTAGTAGTAGTAGTAGTAGTAGTAGTAGTAGTAGTAGTAGTAGTAGAGTAGTGGTAAGTAGTAGTAGTAGTAGTAGTAGTAGTAGTAGTAGTAGTAGTAGTAGTAGTAGTAGTAGTAGTAGTAGTTAGTAGTAGTAGTAGTAGTAGTAGTAGTAGTAGTAGTAGTAGTAGTAGTAGTAGTAGTAGTAGTAGTAGTAGTAGTAGTAGTAGTAGTAGTAGTAGTAGTAGTAGTAGTAGTAGTAGTATAGTAGTAGTAGTAGTAGTAGTAGTAGTAGTAGTAGTAGTAGTAGTAGGAGGAGGTAGTAGTAGTAGAGTAGTAGTAGCAGTAGTAGTAGTAGGAGGGGAGGAGGAGGAGGGAGGAGGAGGAGAGGAGGAGGAGGAGGAGGAGGAGGAGGAGGAGGTCAGGAGCGAGGAGGAGGAGGAGGAGGAGGAACGAGGAGCGAGGAGGAGGAGGAGGAGGAGGTGGAGCAGGAGGAGGAGGAGCGAGGAGGAGGAGGAGGAGGAGGAGGAGGAGGAGGAGGAGGAGGGGGAACGAGGAGCGAAGAGCAGAAGGAGGAGGAGGAGGAGGAGGAGGAGGAGGAGGGCCCTCCGACGCCCAGGAATGGGGACAGGCCCCTCGGGGCCGAGCGGTGCCTCCTCCCCAGTCCCCGGGCGCCCAAGGCCCCTCCGACTCCTCGCAGGGGCGCCTCTCTGCACCAGGGGAAGCGGCGACGCGTCGAGGGCGAGCGAGAGCGCGGGGGCCCGGACTGAGGTATGAGGGACGAGCGGGGCCGCCTGAGACCAAATGGGTGCGGCTGCGCTGGAGGCCGCCGCGCAGGACGCTGCGGGCGACCCCCGCGTTGCCAGCGTGGGACTCCATCGCCCGTTGGGCCAAGCACGTGCTGGGGGCCCGAGCGCACCTGGCGAAGTTGGCGCCGTACGCCACGCAGCAGCCCGAGGCAGCGATGCCAGGGATCGCCAAGAGCCTACAGGCGCTCATCGCGCTCTTCCGCCGCACTCGGGGAGCGCAGCACGTTTGGAAGGAGGCGCCGCCAGAGGTCGAGGCGCTGTTCGCGCTTGGCCCCGAGCTGCTCTTGCTGCGGGACCTCGAGGCGCGCATGGCGGAGTTCGTCACGCAGCAGCAGAACCTCCAGAGTCAGCATGCTGGAAGGCGTGGGTCGACGAGGCGTTCGCCCACGGGGCCAACGGGGCTCAACGCGCTACGCGGGTGCTGGAGCGCTTCGAGGTGGCGCGTGCAAACCATGACGGTGACCCTGCGCATCTGGCGGACCAGGCCATGATCGAGTGGGAGGACCTCTGGGAAGCGCATGGGGCTCCTTGGACGGCCACCCCAGGCGATGCTGCTACATGGCTGCGCTTCCCCCGGTCAGCGGCAGCGACATCAGGAGGGTGGTGGGCACCTTCTCATGGAAGACCGCGGTGGGCTAGTCTCGACTGCCCTCGCGGCAGCTCTGGTTCGAGTCGGATGACGTCATGGAGGTGCTCGCGGTCCTGCTCGCCCGATGCGAGGAGCTCTTGAGCTGGCCGTCGGAGCGGATCGTCAACGTGATGGTCCGTTTGCCGAAGCCCGACGGCGAGGTCTGCCGCCTGATCACCTTGGCTAACACGCTCAGTCGGGTGTGGGAGAGGGTACGCAAGCCTCTCTCGCAGCAGTGGATCAGGGACAACCCCGATTACACGATATACGTCTTAGGCATGAAGCGCGGGGCGACGGCCACGGCGTCGGCGTACCGCCACGATGTCCAGGCCGAGACCGCCCAGCTGCGGGGGGAGGCCAGTTGGACTGTGATCATGGACCTGCACAGGCCTTCGACAGCGTGCTTGCTGGCCCCCTCCTCGAGCAGGCTAGAGCACCCGGCTTCCCTATGCGGCTGGTATGGATGTGTGTGTGTATGTGAGCTATTTCAGGATGCCGAGGGTGCTGCAGGCGTACGGCTGCTGGAGCCGCATGGTGGCGTCCAACCGCAGCATCCTCGCGGGGTGTACCCACGCCGCGGCCCTGCTGACGGTGCTGCTCATCCAGGCCGTCGTGCGCCTGCGCGCCATCGCGAACCAGCTGACCCTGAGGCCCCCCGTGGACGACCTCACCATCCAGTGGATCGGGCAGGTTGGCGACGGCGGCGTCAGCATGTTGCGAAGGGCGGCCCGCGAGTTCACGGAGCAGGTGCGGCCGCTGGGCATGCAGATCAAGCTGGCCAAATCAGGCAGGCTCGCCACGTCGCAGGGCGCCAAGAAGGAGTTTCGGCCCGCTGCCAGAGCCCCGGCGCTGCCCGAGAGGCAGGGTTTCGACAACCTCGGCCGCGACACGCACGGCGCGGCAGTGCGGAGGCCTGTGGCGAGGGCTAGAATGGGGAAGCTCCAGGCGCGCCAACCTCGCGTGGGTTCGCTGGCGAGGATGGCGGGCCCCAGGGCCGCGCCAGTGGGCGGCATCAGCGACGCGCAGCTTGCCGCGCTCCGCCCAGCACCGCGCTGCGCTGCTGTGCAGCGGCCGCGGCGGCGAGGGCGCGGCCTCGATCGCGGCGTATCTGGCCACCCAGCGCGACTTCTTCCTCGACCCGATGCACGAGGCCCCGGCGGCGGCGCTGGTGGCCTACGCCTCGCAGATCTGGGACAGCCACCTCCCGCTGGCCAGGCCGCAGCAGGCCCGGGGCGCACTCGAGCAGCGGTGGAGCGAGACGGCGCCCTCCTGGCAGACGGCGAGGGGCCCGATCGCCGCCCTGTGACTGAGAGCGCGCCGCATTGGATGGGACATGCACTCCAGCCTCGTCGACACCCGATCGAGCTCCTCGGGCAGCGCCCGCAGGAGGCGCGCAAGCTCGCGCGGGGGGGCGCGGCGCGCTGGCAGGGGCGCCAGATCCTCCATCACCGCCAGCCGACTTCATCGCCAATGGGGGCCAGGCTCTGGCCCCGGGCGGCCAGGCACGCGCCGGCGCCGCCGCGGGCCGAAATCCGAGGAGCGAGGGCAGGCCACTTGCGGGAGCTCCGGGCAGGAGGAGCATGGGATATTGCGCAGCGCAGCGCAGCGGGCTACATCAGCAGTCCCAACTGCCCGTTCTGCGCAGCGCCCACGCCTGGCATGCGAGGTCACTGGATCTACGAGTGCGAGCGCGTCGCTGCCATGGGCGGGGGGGCCGAGACGGGCGCGGTGCTGGAGGAGCTGGCGGACCAGCAGCAGCAGCAGCGGACCAAGAAGCGGATGCGGGAACGGTGCCACATCGGAGTGGCCGACGCCGACTACGACCGCTTCGACCTCGCGGTTGGCCTCCCTCTCATCCCCTACCAGGTGCCCCCCTGCGGACATCCACCTCTGGGGGGACTGGTCCAGCGGCGGCGAGGGCGCCACCACGGTGGTCCGGACGGCTCAGGGCACGAACCCGCGACGCCCGAGCTCACCGGATGCGGCTGGGCGTCTGTGCAGCTGGACAACATGGGCTGGCACTGGCGGGCGGCCCACGGGACACTCCCAGGCCACCGCCAGACGGTGGGGAGGGCAGAGAGATGGGCGTTCTTGCAGGCGCTGAAGTTGGCGCCTGACATGAAGCTCCTCGTCACCGACCTGGCAGGCCTGAGGAGCGAGGTCGCCGACTGGGACCTTTGGCTTGCCAGCGCGGCTGGGAAGTACGCAGACATCTGGCGACATATCTTCGAGGTGCAGAGGGGTCGTGGGCCGCCTGAGGCGCTGTGGTGCCCTGCTCACATCGCGTTTTTGGAATTCGCGCTCGACCCAGAGCGAGATGCGATGGACTTCCTCGGCAACACCTGGGCGGACTGGTTCGCCGAGGCGGGGGCCAGGGAGCATCGGCTGCCTGCTCTGCTGGAGGACCTCCTGAAAGTGCGGCTGTCCGACTCGGCGGGGGAGGCGCCCGCGCTGGCGCGGCACCAGGCCGCGCTCGGAGGCCTCTCGGAGGAGCTGCGGGCGAGCACGAGGCGCATGAGCCTGCCGCCGGTGCCTGTCGCCCCGGCACAGTTGGGGTGCGGCCGCCACCTGTTCGTCAGGCGGCCAGCGGGCTGGGCGCGCGCAGTTTGCACGGCCGCCGCCACGACGGACGAGGCGAGGCGGAGGCTCGAGCGCGAGGACTGCGCGCCCTCCTCGCTCCAGCATTCCGCCTCTGCCTCGCTGGCCGCTGCCGCGGAGACGCTCCCTTCGGCTCGTGAGGAGGCCATCGCCATCGCCCTGAGAGCGGTGGATCGCGTCCTCGGTGGTGGGCCGACCGTGGCCCAGATTGGTCCTCCTCGGCCCACGGCTGCGAGAGACTGGATTCCTGTGCCGTCCATGCGATGCGGGGAAGGGACCGATCCAGGTCCCCGCGGCGGGGCCCCGACGGGGGACCCAGCGCCGCCTTGGCCCGTGCCTGGAGGGAGACCACTCCTTCCGACGTGAGACCCTGGATTCGGGGTGTGGACGGCAGCGTGGGGGCCGTCCAGCCGGTGGGCTCCTCGGAGGGGGGGGGGCGTTGCTGGGGCTGCGGCCCCTCTGGGGCCCTGGGGGGCTCACTGTGTCTACGTAGTGGGCGTTGGTCGAGGGCTCCGCGCGTGGCCGGGGGGCCGTCGGGCTTGTGCGGGACCCCATGCGGGCCCGAGGGTGTGGACGGGGCGGCGGCCGCCCTGCCTGTGTCCCCTGGTGCCCGCGGTGCAAGACATGCCCCGCCCAGAGCCCTAGGGCCCGTGGAGCCTCTGACCGAGGTCATCAGGGGCCTGGCCCTTTCGTGTTTTGTCGAGTTTGCGGTGGATCAGCATCCACGCGCCAATCTCCCGTCTTGATGGCCCCATGTACAGGGGCTCGTTAGCTGGAAGAGTAGTCGTCTTAGGACGACCGCCTTGAGACACCGCGAGGAGGGTCGGCACCCTCGGACAGGGATCCCCCTACAGGGCGGGTTCCACAGCGTTTAGTGCTGCTTTGTCCTCGAGGCGCAGTGGTTTTCATAGCCGCGGCGACCCTCTCGAGCCTCGGGTCCTCCTCCTCCTCCTCCTCCTCCTCCTCCTCCTTCTCCTCCTCCTTCTCCTCCTCCTCCTCCTCGCCCACTCCGCGCGGGGAGCCGGAGGCACAAATCTTCGGGCCCCAGCGGCCCCAGAGATCCTGGCGTCTCAAGTTTTTCGAGCCGGGCGTTTTCGCCTCTGTTCGGGCCCCAGGACCCTCACATATCGACGCGGCTCGAAGACGACGCAGAAAGATGGGGTCTAGAGTTTTGGGCGCGATTGTTTGAAATGCTGCAGCGTTTCGCTACGTCGGATCGCAAGGTCCCTCTTCATCCTCCCGTTGGGCCGACTTTGATCAGAGTTCGCAGCGTCGCGCGACATGACTTTGATGGGTAAGCGAGAAAAAAACAGTCCCAGGGAGAATCAAGTGCAATTCGAAAAGATGCGGTGCGACAAAGTGCCCGACGGTGAGCAAAGAGAGACAAAGCAGAGTGGAAAGGGGAGAGGCCCACAAGTGCGCTTAGCCAGGCTGCCCCTCCCCCTCTCCACGGCTGCAACGGCGCCTGGGCCGTCCAGAGGCCCTCGTTGGACGAGGCCCTCTGAGTGCGCCGCACGGGGCCCCACGCGTCGGACCGTCGTCGTTTACGGCCCGTCGCGCGCGCCTCGCGCGCCCGTCTCCGAGACGCTTGCTCGCAAGCGCAGTGTGCGGGCTTCCAGGCGAGCGGTCTCCAGGCGAACAGGACTCCCGGAGTGCGGGTTCTTGGGCGAGCGGTAGGCGAGCGGGCTTGTATTCTCCAGGTTCCTCCTTGAGTTTCTTCCTCTTCCTCCTCCTCCTCCTCCTCCTCCTCCTCTTTTTCCTCCTCCTCCTCCTCCTCCTCCTCCTCCTCCTCCTCCTCCTACTCCTACTCCTCCTCCTCCTCCTCCTCCGCCTCTTCCTGTTCCTCCCCCTCCTCCTCCTCCTCCTCATTCTCCTCGTTCCCCCTCGCCTCCTCCTCCTCATCCTCCCCTGCCTCCTCCTCCTCCTCCTCCTCATCCTCCTCCTCCACGTCCCTCTCTTCCACCTCCGTCTCCTCATCATCATCCTCCGCATCATCATCATCATCATCATCATCATCATCATCATCATCATCATCATCATCATCATCATCATCATCATCATCATCATCATCATCATCCTC